ACATTGAGAGAGACGAGAAGCTATCATTGGTACTCCTCTTGGTTACAATTGAGATAGACGAGGAACTATCATGGGTTCTTCTCTTGGTTGTAATTGCGAGAGACGAAGAGCTATCATGGGTACTTCTCTTGGTTAAAATTGAGAGAGACGAGGAGCTATCATGGGTACTCCTCTTGGTTGTAATTGAGAGAGACGAGAAGCTATCATGGGTACTTCGCTTGGTTGTAATTGAGAGAGACGAGGAGCTATCATGGGTACTCCTCTTGGTTGTAATTGAGAGAGACGAGGAGCTCTCATGGGTACTTCTCTTGGTTATAATTGAGAGAGACGAGGAGCTATCATGGGTACTTCTCTTGGTTGTAATTGAGAGAGACGAGGAGCTATCATGGGTACTTCTCTTGGTTATAATTGAGAGAGACGAGGAGCTATCATGGGTACTCCTCTTGGTTATAATTGAGAGAGACGAGGAGCTATCATGGGTACTCCTCTTGGTTATAATTGAGATAGACGAGGAACTATCATGGGTTCTTCTCTTGGTTGTAATTGCGAGAGACGAAGAGCTATCGTGGGTACTCCTCTTGGTTATAATTGAGAGAGACGAGGAGCTATCATGGATACTTCTCTTGGTTACAATTGAGAGAGACGAGGAGCTATCATGGGTACTCCTCTTGGTTGTAATTGAGAGAGACGAGAAGCTATCATGGGTATTCCTCTTGGTTGTAATTGAGAGAGACGAATAGCTATCATGGGTACTTCTCTTGGTTACAATTGAGAGAGATGACAAGCTATCATGGGTACTTCTCTTGGTTACAATTGAGAGAGACGAGGAGCTATTATGGGTACTTCTCTTGGTTATAATTGAGATAGACGGGGAACTATCATGGGTTCTTCTCTTGGTTGTAATTGCGAGAGACGAAGAGCTATCATGGGTACTTCTCTTGGTTATAATTGCGAGAGACGAGGAGCTATCATGGGTACTTCTCTTGGTTGTAATTGAGAGAGACGAGAAGCTATCATGGTTACCTCTCTTGGTTGTAATTGAGAGAGACGAGAAGCTATCATGGGTATTACTCTTGGTTATAATTGAGAGAGACGGGAAGCTATCATGTGTACTTCTGTTGGTTGTTATTGAGAGCGACGAGAAGCTATCATAGGTACTTCTCTTGGTTACAATTGGGAGAGACGAAGAGCTATCATGGGTACTTCTCTTGGTTACAATTGAGAGAGACGAGGAGCTATCATGGGTACTTCTCTTGGTTACAATTGAGAGAGAAAAGCAGCTATCATGATTACTTCTCTTGGTTACAATTGGGAGAGACGAGGAGCTATCATGGGTACTTCTCTTGGTTATAACTGAGAGAGACGAGGAGCTATCATGGGTACTTCTGTTGGTTACAATTGAGAGAGACGAGGAGCTATCATGGGTACTTCTCTTGGTTACAATTGGGAGAGACGAGGAGCTATCATGGGTACTTCTCTTGGTTACAATTGGGAGAGACGAGGAGCTATCATGGGTACTTCTCTTGGTTATAACTGAGAGAGACGAGAAGCTATTATGGGTACTTCTCTTGGTTACAATTGGGAGAGACGAGGAGCTATCATGGGTACTTCTCTTGGTTACAATTGGGAGAGACGAGAAGCTATCATGGGTAATTCTATTAGTTATAATTGGGAGAGACGAGGAGCTATCATGGTTACCTCTCTTGGTTGTAATTGAGAGAGACGAGAAGCTATCATGGGTATTACTCTTGGTTATAATACAGACGGGGAACTATCATGGTTACCTCTCAGGGTATCCTTTGGGACAGACGGGGAGCTATCATGGTTACCTCTTAGTGTATCATTTGGGACAGAAGGGGAGCTATCATGGTTACCTTTTAGTGTATCATTTGGGACAGACGGGGAGTTATCATGGTTACCTCTCAGGGTATCATTTGGGACAGACGGGGAGTTATCATGGTTACCTCTCAGGGTTATTATTGAGAGAGACGAGGAGCTATCATGGGTACTTCTCTTGGTTACAATTGATAGAGACGACAAGCTATCATGGGTACTTCTCTTGGCTACAATCCAGCGAGACGATGAGCTATCATGGTAACCTCTCAGGGTATCATTTGAAACAGACGGGGAACTATCATGGTTACCTCTCAGGGTATCATTTGGGACAGACGGGGAGCTATCATGGTTACCTCTTAGTGTATCATTTGGGACAGAAGGGGAGCTATCATGGTAACCTCTCGGTGTATAATTTGGGACAGACGGGTGGCTATCATGGTTACCTCTTAGTGTATCATTTGGGACAGACGGGGGGCTATCATGGTTACCTCTCAGTGTATCAATTGGGACAGGCGGGGAGCTATTATGACCTCTCAGTGTATCAATTGGGACAGACGGGGAGTTATCATGGTTACCTCTTAGGGTATCAATTGGTTGTGCCGGTGAGCTATAAGATTCGAGATTGCAATAGACCCATCATGAATTAAAACAGACTGTCATTTATAATTATCATTTTATCATTTTAAGTAATAATAGTCTACAATTCACATTTCATTCAATTCTATTCATGATACACACATTCAGATAGAAGATTTGATCTACAAAATTTCATCTTCTTTTGATGTAAATAAAGTTGTGCCTAGTTATTAATTGTACAATGTTATCAAAATTGTTAACAATTTCGTTTCTCTTTTTTCTGATGTTTTTATTCTCCATTGTGATCAAACAAGATCTATACCAAAGCTGAGTATTCCAATCACAGCTTGTCATGTGGAATCTGTATCTAAATATCCACTATGAATTGTGGGATACCAAACCAAAAGAAGGACAATATGGATCTACTTTGGATTTTGCTATCCCACAATTCTTAGTATATTAAGATGACTCTGCATGACAAGCAGTGATTGATGGACATGGACATGGCCTTGGTAATACCTTTGTTAGATCACAATGGAGAAAGAAAATATCAAATAAAAAAGAAACAGAATTAATTATTCTTGTGTAAATTAGATAGTCAATCGTAAGATCCAATCATATAAGTTAATCATTTTCTTTACAAAAATTTGAAAGTTTTTACATAAAATTTTACAATACACATGTACAAGTTTTTTAATTATTAAATTTCAACTATAAACACTGAAAACATCTTTAAAAAATATGATATAAGCATTCTTATCAAACTAAGTAACTTCAAAATGTTCACAGCCAATCATATCTTTTATATCAATTCAACTCTATTGCTAAATTTATTGTCATCTACAAAATTGACAGAAATTCAGATATTTTTTAGCACTTTTTATACTTCAGATAAAACGTTTTAACACACATTTGCAAGTCACTATGAAGATAGGGTTGCTTCAAAATGTTCACAGCCAATCATATCTTTTATATCAATTCAACTCTATTGCTAATTTTTATTGTGAGCTACAAAATTGTCAGAATTTCAGATATTTTTTAGCACTTTTTAAAGTTTAGATAAAACGTTGTAACACACCTTTGCAAGTCACTATTAAGATAGAGTTGCTTCAAAATTTTCACAGCTGTTCTTTTGCTATTTTTTAGCATTAAAAAGTAACAAAATTGACATAATTTTCGACACTTCTTTCTTAGCAATTTTAAAGCTTTGATAAAAAAAACTCTAGCACAGAGGCCTTATTCTCTTATTCTCTTATTCTATTCTCTTATTCTCTTATTCTCTTATTCTATTCTCTTATTCTCTTATTCTCTTATTCTCTTATTCTCCAAAACTTAACTTAAATAACAATCCAGAATCTATTTTTAAAATCAATTTTAGACATTGACCAATCAGATAAATAAGGCCCCAGGTTTGATTGTCATCATTATTTTACTTTCAATATGCTTTCTTTACAGAATTCTAATTGATTAAACTGTGTTTGGCTTTTCATTTTGATAAGTGATAAAGATAACTGAAATTGAGATTTGAAAAAGTATTCTACTTAAGTTAAATAAATAATAACTTTTACACACAGGAAATCATACATCAGGTATTGCATAATCTTATTCAAGATAGCTTGCAAGGCAAGGTAATATACGCCCACTGGCAGCTTTGATTTTGAATAAAAATATTTAGCAGTACAGTAACAATCACCAGTATGAAATATTCAACCTTCAATCATACACTTCTTTTGAACTCTTTAGGGTGATACTGAATAATATTGAGTATGAGTTATTGCCCTTGTTCTTGAAAACGTGTTCAATCTTTAGCTTGTGAAAACTCTAGAAGACAAATATTCAATCTTCAGCACGGGACTGAATAATGAAACCAAGTTTTGTCAAAATCCAGCAAGAATCATGCCTTTTAGTGTTTAAAAGCTAAATTTGAAAGTGTTTTCAAGAACAAAGGGCAATGACTCATACTAAATATTTTTCAATTCTTCTGATTATCAATAGGGTTCATCCTTGGGTGATTACGAACATTCACACCAAGTTTCATCAAATCTGTCAAGAATTGTGCCTTCTGGAGTGATTACGAGCTAAAAATTGAACGCGTTTTCAAGAGCAAGGGCAATTACTCATACTAAATATTTTTCGATTTTTCTGATTTTCAATAGGGTTTATCCTTGGGTGATAAAAAACACTCATGCCAAGTTTCGTCAAAATCCGTCAAGAATTGTCCCTTCTAGAGTGTTTACTAGCTAAAAATTGAATGCATTTTCAAGAACAAGGGCAATAAGAGCATGTATTTATCAGTAGATATACCTGGTGTCATAAATAACATAACAGGATCCTTATATAATTCGATTAATCCAAAAAATTTAGTAATTATCCATAAATATGCAATTAACTATTGAAAAACGCTTAATATCAAGATCAATAATTACTTAGTTTATTAATTTTTTCAATTTTCTAGATTTTACAGGGATTCTGTTGTAACTTTATGCTCAGTTGGTGATTGTCAATTCATATTATATAAATATAAAAACATTCTATATAAAACAATATTTCTATATATTATGTAACCAAACTATATCATGAGTTAACAAAATAATATTATGACTGTTTCAAGTGGCTGCAAGTTTGTAAAATTTTAATAGCCAGTTAAACAAGAGGTAAAGTGAGTTCCTTACCAGTATTTTAATCTAATATCATACTTGTATTTCATTTTACAGGGACAGATGCAGCATTTCTGGTAGTAAACCATACCCTGGTTTCAGAAACCTGAATTGTTGTTAAACTAATCAGAAATAATGTTCCTCAGTTTACCGTCGAAATTTGAACATTCAAGTCCATGTGTATCACTTATTATCTATGTTTGAAGAGACTTTATTTTGAATATCTGTAGATGACATCATGTGTAAACAGTAGACTCAATCATCCTCTCCCACTTTGTCTACAGCTGCAAAGGAAGATGTCTTGGTGTCAAAGACTATATCAACAGTTGTGAACATTATTACGAATTAACAATTCACATTTCTGAGATCAACAAGACTTTCATTTTTAGGATACCCCAAATTTCAGAGGGAAGATAGGCATATGATTGAAATAAATAAAATGTTTGAGATCTATTTGAAGGAATTATGAGATATTCATACAGTTTTAGTATTTCTGAAGACTATATAAATTCAAGGTTCAAATCATCCCCCCAGAAAGCCACATTTGTCACTTTAGACTACTACCCCAAGTCTGACTACCAACAAAAAATAGTTTGAAGAGAAAACCACTATCTACAACATAGAGCTGTAGTCAGACATGACTGGCAAATACAGACGACATGTAATAATCAATTAGCACTCAAAGACACATGATTAAAATATAGCCAAATCTACAGCCTAGAGTTCTAGTCAGAATGACTGGTGAGTTAAGCAGTATTAAGAGTCTTGTGATCTAATCAGACATTACAGGTAAATATAGCCAAATCAACAGTCTAGAGTTCTAGTCAGACATGACTGGTAAATACAGCCATATCAACATTCTAGAGCTCTAGTCAGAATGACTGATGAGTTTAGAAGTATTAAGAGTCTACAACTCTATTCAGACATGACTGGTGAGTATAGCCATATCTACAGCTAGAGATATAGTCAGAATGACTGGTGAGAATAGCCAAATCAACAGTCTAGAGATCTAGTCAGACATGACTGGTAAATACAGCCATAGTAACAGTCTAAAGCTCTAGTCAGACATAACAGGTTAATTAATACAGCCATAGTAACAGTCTAAAGCTCTAGTCAGACATGACTGGTGGGTATAGCCATATCAACATTCTAGAGCTCTAGTCAGAATGACTGGTGATAATAGCTAAATCAAGAGTTCTAGTCAGACATGACTGCTGAGTACAGACATATCAACAGGCTAGAGCTCTAGTCAGAATGACTGGTGATAATAGTAAAGTCTAAAGTTCTAGTCAGACATGACTGCTGAGTACAGACATATCAACAGGCCAGAGATCTAGTCAGACATGACTGGTAAATACAGCCATAGTAACAGTCTAAAGTTCTAGTCAGACATGACTGCTGAGTACAGACATATCAACAGACCAGAGATCTAGTCAGACATGAGAGGTAAATACAGTCATGTTAATACTCTGGTAGTTTATCTAATTTATTATGCTTAACAATGTATATTCAATACTGTATCTAAATACTTAATATCAATAAACAAGCACTGGATTAGTTATTGTATTTGTCATCTCTACATCCCCTCAGGAGAATCCACTTGCTTATTCGCTTGGTTTCAACAAGACTGCATTCATTCTTGGAGTCCACACACCACAAATTGTTCATAAAATTGATATTTGGAGCATTCTTTCAAGGGAGTCCAACTAAATAACAAGGTGTTAAGGTTTCTCACCATGCAATCTTTTCGGAGAAAGTTTTGAATTTTAGATAACACTGGATTCATTTTCATACACAACACACATCACAAAATATTTATAAAATTGGTATTTGGATGTGCCAAATTTTTTTTTTGTAAACAATATTTTAGTCATAAAAAGTATGAATGGGATTAGGGAACAGGCATTCACCTATATAACCCTTCTCCATATTAGTTTTCCTTTTCAGGAGTCTACTTGAATAATTTGGCATTTAAGGATGTCAACATTTCATCTCTTCAGAGAGTCCACAAGAGTAATAATGTTGAATTTTGGATAACACTCAATCCCTTTCAGGGAGTCCACATAGTTAATAATGTGCCTTTTTGCATCAAAATCAATATATCACCTGAAGCAAATTCATTCCAAAAACAAGAACAATCTCTCTGGGGTCTATCAAACACCTACAGTATATCTGTAAAAGAAATAAAAGTGTTAAGGGATGAAAGATGAAACCACGAAAAAACTTGAATCTTCTAGCTTCCAATTCACCACCAACAGCTTATTTCTAAATCTTCATTTGTAAAGGGAAGTAACTTATTATATTACTCAGTTTAATTTGAATCACAGAAAGTTAATAATGAGGCAATCCACTGAGTCCAGTCCAATGAGGCATTTAAAGGTGGCAAAGTAATTCATATAAAACACTGAATCTAAATTTTCCACTTACAATTTCAAACTCTAATACAATATTTCTCATATTAATCTAAACTTTTCTTGAATTTTCTGCACCAAGTCACGATGTCCAACAGTTTCACTGTCCAAAGCTTCCAATAACTCAGTGATTTTATCAACTCCACTTGGGAAATCACGCCATCTGACCAAACATCTCAGAATCTGTTTATATGTCATGTTGGGGTAGTCTAGTTGTGCTTGTTCAATCTGTACCTGCTCTATACCCAGTAGAGGCATCAACAATAACCATTTAAACCCAAGATTAGACGCAATGAATGATAAACCTACTTCAGATAATAATACTGAAAATATAAAATCAAATTAAATTTTAAACAATCCTACCGGAAATTTGCTGAAAATCAAAACTAACTGGAAATTGTTTCTGATATTTAACCTAATAATAGAATTGTCTGTACACTCTAGTTATTAATGATTATAACTGGTGACTGATGTAAAATACACAGCCTTTAGTACAGAGACATCAGTTTATTGTCCAATCTAAACAACAAGAGATTTCTGTCCATGTCAGCTCTTCCAACAACCTGCATCACTAACAGGGGGAAACCAGCTATAAAATTTCCAACTGTCGAGAGATCTTTAACATGCACAGCCTTTAGTCCCAGAGACCTAGAGGGTATAGTCTCATCAAAACAACAAGACACTTTGTCCATGTCAGCTCTTCCAACCCGCAACACTAAAATTCTGACTGCTAACATACACAGCCTTTAGTCCAGAAGACCTCAGAGTATAGTCTCATCAAAACAAAACACTTTTGTCCATCAATCTGCATGGAGAAAGAGGAAATCAAGTAGAATATGGTATTATAACTTACTATCTCTGTTGTTATGACCATCTATATCATCTAGAGTATTAACAGACATCAATAACTCTGTAGCTACTTTAACATGTTTCTCTAAATCATCTTGATCATCTACAATATATATATAATAACTATCATAATCAATCAACAGATTCAATAACTTCCTTAATCTTTGTCAAGAACAGTTTCATGAAGAACTTAATCATGAAACAAATTTAGGCAAGTAAAATGGGAAAATCTTTTGGTGAACTAAAAAAGAAAATTTACAGATAGATTGATTCAAATGGGTAACAGTCTTAGGCAAAATATGAAGATTTTTAGACTGATAATTACAATTCAGCCTACAGAAATGATGAAATGCTGGTGACTACATCGATAAGTCATGTGGGTTGGCTGAGGTGGTCAATGTATAAAGTTATCAACCACAGAACTGAGGGAAGCTAACATTAAAGACAGGGAAAGCTTACTAATTAGTTAAACTTGAAGACTATCATTGTGGTGGAACATGTACATCTTAGTTGATTGCATGCTCAATTTCAATTCAGATTTAAGTGCATGGTGACATTACAGTACAGTGTAGGGAAGCTATTGTAGGTGGACTCAATTAACTGAAAACAAAACCTACCTGGATCAAGAGGATACACAAAGCATGCTGGGATATCTTCACCCTCGGCATTTTTACACCATGGTGCCTGGTAGGTGTTTCTAGGTAGGACATTTTGTAAAACTTCACCGGGAAACCGATAGGGATCTCCTATTTTACACAGAATACAATGTGAACACAATAAACTCAATTCAAAACGAATGAACGGCCATTCTTGAAGAAGAGCTAACAAATCTTGGTTGGTTTTAGTAACCAAGGACCATAACTCTTGTAAGTCTGGTCCTCTCACAGCAACACGAATACAAGAATCATTATCCTCGCTCACTATTTTTCTTACGAGGACTCGAGATTGGTTTATTCGTCCTAGCACTCCAAACTTCCAATTAATTCTCTCTGTGAAATGATTATGAAGTCTGACAGAAAATTTTGCAAAACAGTTCGGTGGTCGTCTATTTATAAAATGTAACTCGTAACAAAGTTCAAACATGTTAAGAGGAGTTGATACTGGCCATTCATAGGCCACTTTTTCTGGCTCTTCTGGTGGGAAAAACCATGGGAACTGTAGAATACCAACAGATTGTAGTAAGCTTGGAGCCAGCGTAGATTTCTCAACTTCAAAACACAAATCAAACTTCAACATTAATGAAATGAATGTATCCAATGCATCAGGTGAAAGTTCAAAATGGAGAAGACAATAATGTAAGAGTTCATAAGTCAATAAACCCTGCGATAAGAACTCTTCTTTCATAAAGTCAAATTTAGTTTTGGTCAGATTTGCTTGTTGACCATTATTATCCTCATAGACAACCACTTCATCAAAATTATGTCTGAAAACAGCACGCAGCATTTCTACCAGTGTTTCCGGTCGATGAAAAACTATTGCACGTAATTTAGGATTTTTATCATACCAGACGATCTCACCCATTCTATGTAAATACATCAAGACCACAATCATACTCATTTCTACTGATCCACCGATCGCAATCATCGACTGTGCCATCTCTTCCATGACTTCAGTGAAAATTTCCAAAGCTCGTGGCCATTTTAGGATTCTCTCAGGATGTTGCTGTATGGCTTGCAGGAATCTAAACCATGATTTAGGCAACGCCATTTCTTCCGTTTCTATCAGATGATTGATCAAATCTGTACGGAAATGCTCAAACCCATCCAAATCCTTGGCACAGCTCACAGCCCAGATACTCTTGGGTAAAATGGAACGACTATTCAACATCTTTTCCATGTGGGCTTTTCTCTCGTGGAGTCTCTCAAACCCAATTTCTGTAAACTCTCCCCGATTTATCCTGGCTTCTGGGGTATCCAGGATTCTTTGGATCTTCTTGATTTCTTCTTTTAAATCATTGATGTTTTTATTCTCAATTCTGTGCATTTTTCGTAAAATATCTTTAACTTTTTCTTCAATATCTTGCTCTGAACACAAATCACCGTGAGTTCCCACAATCCTGATTCCAGCCCCTGGGGCTCGGTCCATGATGGCTTCCAACCAGTTTCCAATGAGCTCCAGGTATCGGTCCGATGAGTATTTATGAAGATCAAAGACTAAAACGTGAGTAGCTTCCGGTGTCAGGAACATGTGATGGGCAGCAGAATATATATGATGGCCTCCAAAATCTAAAATCTGAACTCTCAATTCGGATTTCGGTTCCCAAAGATGTCGCTCCAACACCCATGTTCGTTCATGCTCCTGAGTTAAAGCTGAGTGACCTAGTAACAAAGCATTACGTAGACTTGTTTTTCCAGCCTTCACAGCTCCAATTAATATCATCTTTTTCCGATGTTTAGCTTCACTGATTCGTAACTCTTTTAAATATGGGAATAGGGCTGTGACTCCTTGATCACAGATTGCTTGAGGAGGTCGTTTCAAATTGTTATTCCACAAATACAAACATCCACTCTCGGCTAAACGATCAAGTCTATCCATCAAGAGAGGTAACTCTGTTAGCTGGTTGTCATTTAAGCTCAGATCAACTAGGTTGCTGAGTTCATAGATCTCTTCTGGGACTGATTTGAGTTTATTTCGACTGAGATGTAATTGAACGAGAGAATGACATTGACAAATTTCATCTGGTAAAGAATCTAAAGCATTATAGGCCAATCCCAGCTCTTTGAGAGACTTAAGATTAGAAATTCCTGCTGGCAATTCTTCCAGATAGTTTTCCCCGAACTCTAGATGTTCAATATGGCGCAGACTGAACAATTCCTCAGGAAGTCTCAACAAGGCATTCCTCTGTATAATCAGTTTCTTTAACTTTCTTAATTCGCAGACTTCTGGGGGAATTTCCGTGAAAAAGTTCCCGCTCAAATTCAATTCTAGCAATTCTTCTAACGTGAAAAAGGCTTTGGGAATAACTGAACAGTATCGTAAGGCTCCAGTCAGATTCAAGTTCACCAAGCGTTCACAGCAGTGAATTTCATCAGATACATGCTGCAGGAAGTTTCCACGTAAGTTCAAGGTCACTAATCTTCTCAGATTTCCAAACTGGTCTGGAATTGTGTGAATCTTATGCCAACTGAGATCCAAATGACGTAGATCTGTAAGATAGCATATAGCAAGAGGAACGATCTGAAATCCTCCACGAGGGTACCATTTACTGGATAGATTCAAATACCTCAGCTTCTTCAACTTGCAGAATTCATCAGGAACTTCTTCCAGCATATTTCCTGCCAAATTCAGATGTTGCAGGTTCACCAATTTCTTGATGTCAGAACCAACAGTTTCAATGTAATTCTCTGCCAAATCTAACTGCTCCAAGGTAACCAGATTGAAAAGAGCTGATGGAATTTCCGTGAAATGATTAAAGCCTAAATTCAGCTGAGTGATTCGTGTACATTGATCAAATGATTTAGGTAGCTTGTAAAGATAATTTCCAATGGCGTGGAATATCACCATCCCTTTTAAATTACCAAGAGCTGTGCCAGCCACGGGAAATGAGAAGAGTTTTAAGAAGGGAAGGTAAAGCTCATCTAATTCGTAAGTATACAAGGCTTTCGGTATCCATCCTTTATATACACCCTCCGGAATGGATAACACTTGTTTTCCAGACTGATCAGTTCGTAGATACTGCCTCAAAGATTCTGAGGCTTGACTAGGTGCAGCCATCTTGCTATTCCTTTATCTGAAAGAGAAAGAAAAGATTAAAGAGGTTGTGTAGTGAGTCAAGATCCAGGGCAGAAATTCATAAAGATATATTGTTCTCATTTCAGAACTAAAGGTGGAATGATCTACCAGCTTTAAAAATACTTTAATTTTTACGAACATTGTGACGATTTTAGGTCAGTAGATGAAGTTATCTATGTCGTATCTTTATTATGCATTCACTTATTAAATATTGTCTATTATGTTCACCATTTTCATTTTGTCTCTACTTTAAGACTATTATATAAAATCAAAATATTCCAAGAAAATTGTTACATACTCCAGTCCAGGCCACATATTCTCAAAACGATCTTAGCACTAGGATGTCCTAGAATCAATGTTAGAAAATAAGAACCTAGGATGTCCTAGAATCAATGTTAGAAAATAAGAACCTAGGATGTCCTAGAATTAATGGTAGGAGATAAGAACCTAGGATGTCCTAGAATCAATGTTAGAAGATAAGAACCTAGGATGTCCTAGAATCAATGGTAGAAGATAAGAACCTAGGACATCCTAGAATCAATGTTAGAAGATAAGAACCTAGGACATCCTAAAATCAATGTTAGAAGATAAGAACCTAGGACGTCCTAGAATCAATGGTAGAAGATAAGAACCTAGGACGTCCTAGAATCAATGTAAGAAGATAAGAACCTAGGACATCCTAGAATCAATGTTAGAAGATAAGAACTTAGGAAATCCTAGAATCAATGTTAGAAGATAAGAACCTAGGACATCCTAGCGCTAAGATCGTTTCGAGAATACGGGGTCTGATTAACTGTTGATTATATAGGATAGTTATCATACAATGCATATCTATGATACCAATAATAATTACATACAATATCTTCACTTGGATATAAGATAACAAACTTCCATTTCTTATAATGGCAAACCATAGTTAATTTCACCGAGACAGAAATAAAATATAACTGTAACATACCTACTGAAGAGAAGTACATTAAAATCTCAATTTCTTCATTTTCGTTCAAACTTCATCACTCTACAAAACAATAAACTATTTATCCAAAATGTTAAAAAAAAATTTTTCAACACAAATCAATAAACCAATTATTCAAAATATCAATCCCAAATATCAATAAGGTTATATCAATTACATTATTTTTTAATCCAAACATCAACCATTTATCCAAAATATGGGAGAAGGTTTGCTTATATAGTAACAAAAACTATATTTATCTATATCCTAAGCAGTAATAATCAGTTAAAATAGGTTTTTTTTTCCTTTTTAATCAATAATAGATTTACAGTCATGAGTTTTTTCCTAAAAATCATGTATTAATTGGTAGGCTGTATTATTAATCAGTGAAAATAGGCCATCCTTTTTGGTTAAATTTTCTTGGCATATGGCCTGTTGGAAAAATATACAAAATATTTATATCTCTGTATCTATATATTTGAGTAATTGCTTTATTTGAACTAGAACTAGATTGAGGTTAGGCTCTATTTTAGGAAAAAATTATGCCATAGTGAATACTTTTCAATGTCTGGCCATCTTTCAGCACCAACTCTCTTCCTCTTGTAATAACAGTCAGCCTTATTTTCAGAAAAATGAAAATAGATAAGTTTATGGAAAGCACCTTGTCTAATGAAATAAATGACACATGAATTCCAATTAGAGAACTTATCAATTACATTCCAATCTGATTTCTTTATTTTATAATTGAAGGTGAGATCATGTTTATAAATAGCGTTCTTCATTTAAAAATGGAAAATTTTCAGTGGAAACAAATTTAAATTTGATCTTGATCTTGCTTAAAATAATAAAAACCATAGTTGCTTGATACACAGTGTTATCTGATACTGATAACTTTTTAAATTTATGCGGAAAATACCCAGAGTAGTCCATGTACACGTAAATCATGATGCACAATTGTTGTACCAGGGCAGTACTACCATAAATAGGCCATAATGAACCGAACTGACAGAATAAGTTAATGCCCAATGACAAGCTTAATGGGATTAATCCAGCCTGGGTGTTTAATGGCATTCATGTCAAAGAATTTAGTGATGCAAACTTCTTTTGCCAGATTTCTCACGTCATATCATGGCGTATTCCAGAGTAGAACAACAAACCCAATAGTTCAAAATACGCTTTAATGAACATAGAAACAAAGAGAAGATACTCACCGATGAAGTTATTTATTTGAATACAAAATAAGCGGCAAATTACTGTAAATAATGTATTTAGTAAGATTTCTTTCCAACAGAAAATATGGCCTTGACTTGACTTCCGGTGACTTTGCTATCAAGAGTTATCTTTCCATATATAACTGTTACCTCCCTTCGATAGCTTTGACAGAAAGGTAGTCCGAAAGTCAGATAACATGGACCAATAATTGTAGTTTTCTTATGGGGTATCTACTTTTTGCCACATTTATTCGCTCTAATTAACGAAGCGAACAAATTGAAGATAACGTGTAGTTAAAATGATAACAAATTATCCATTCAGAAAATGCTATCAAAAATTCAATGAAATTCAGATTCAAGCCCTTTTTAATCAAAATTTTTCTGAGCAGAGCATATTCCCCTTAGACCTCCGTGAAATGCTTTAGGCCTTCGGTGCTCGTTTAAAATCTCAGATTGGGGTAGTGTATCATCATAGTATTCTCGACCTATCCATGATATCAACGTTAGGCCTATTGTCTTATTACCCTATAAAACCCTTATATAAACCAGAAATAGATAACAACAAAACAATTTAAAACATTTTGAAAATACAGATATTTAACTGATGTGAGTATTATATACATTGATTTAGTTAAAATATTTTGAAAACTTTGTACAATACTTTAAAAGCAGAGACAGATTGTAGAGCGATATAGAAATACCACTGTTAATATAGTGCTCAATACATCAATTATAGAGCGATATAGAAATACCACTGTTAAAATAGTGCTCAATACATCAATTATAGAGCGATATAGAAATACCACTGTAAAAATAGTACTCAATACATCAATTGTAGAGTGATATAGAAATATCACTGTTAAAATGGTGCCCAATAGACATCGGTTGTAAAGCGATATAGAATATATAGAAAACAGACTTTGAAACATGTTGTTACTCAGAGTTTCATGCTATGCGATCTTCAGTAACAATGTATTCAAAGTCTGTTCAAACATAGTTTTAATTACACTACATAAAATTTACACAACTTAGCACCAACAATGTCAAATAATCAGAAAAAGGCACATTCTATATTTCATTATAATCTGGTTTCTTTCCACGTATTTTTCCAATTGTAAACATAAAACCATCCTGCATAAGTATAAAACAATAAAATAAAACCACGAAATAAATGATACTAAACAAATTGAAAAAAAAATCAAAGAAATAAATTTCGAAAAATGCAAAAAATAAATAAATAAATTAACTAATTAGTCGTAATTAATTAATCAAATTTATTTTGTATTTTTGTATTTTTATATTTTTGAAATTAATGAATAATGAAAAAAATAACTAATGAAATAATGACATAGATGAATTAATAATTTATTAACTAATAAAAGTTACCTTAATAAGGCCTGGAATTGCCGTCCAGAAATTTCTATTAGGAATCATTTCGGCCCCAGAAGCTTGTCGTCTTGTCCTCATAAAAGCCATACCAAGAGCTATATACAAAAACCCACCGACTAATAATCTGAAACCAAACTTTCAATATGAATTCCAACTGGAATAAAAGCTTTGAGCATCATTTCAACACTGGAAAAATCATTTTATTATGGTTTATTTAAGAAAATGTATGTCTTTAAAGGGATTGTAAAGAGGTTTCTAGATTTTGTATGTGTATCGGGAACACTGATAGCATCAATTTGCACTATTCCAATTTTCAATCAGATGTCTGTGGTTCTTGCAATCCCACTAAGACTAAGTGTTTGATGACGTTACTAATCTTAAAAGGCCTATGTGATACAAGCACGCAATTAGTGACTTCAGAATTGGAATGGTTTAAATTGATGCTATTAGCATCCCCCGTCCCATTCCTGCGACTAAGGTATGATTTGTCAAAAATGACACATCTGTCCCTTTAAAGCATGAAGTCAATCCACATAAATCTGGGTTCCAAGGTACTAGGAGACGAACACTTTTCGAAACATACTTACAAGATACATAAAATAGTTCCCGTACTGATTCCCTCGTCTTCATTAGACGGACTGCTGGACGCACACGTACCCGCACATGCACAGTTAGTAGTTAGGGTGAAATACTAAAATATATAAAGGCACGTGAGGTCTGAATAATATTCTGCCAATATTTGCGGTCGACTTCATGGATGCAGATTTTCTTCCCAGCAACTACGATCAACTGAGTACAGCAGACTTACTTTCCGACCAATCAGGTCGACAAACCACCAGTTTTTTGCTAAAATGTAGATCGTGAACTGCTGCTGTTACTTGTTGCATGGCAACTGGGATTTTTTAGAGCGACAAGGTACAAAGTAAATCATCCCTCAGATACCGTCAGAAAGTTGCTAACAGTTATTGAAAATAACGTTGCTCTCAGATCCCGTTACATCTCAGATACATTTGTTCAAGACATCATCATACATTTTGTATTAGCGTGTCCGTGGATAAATGTTTGATCGTCTGGCTTTCGTATAGTCGACCTGAGATTTCCTTTAGGTTTAGAGCATCGCTGAATGAACTATCAAGAAGGAATTTAAAGATGGGTTTACTTATTTTTTTAGTGTCAAATTTACAACACAAACTGGTGTTTTTAATGAATCATCATATATATTCTTAATCATATCTTTATGCTCCTATTGCATATAATTAAGAGATTTAACCAATCATATATGTTCATGTATCTTCAGTCTGGATAAATAAAAAAAAGACTTTTTGATCTTTTTATCGGAATCGGAATTCTGCTGGTAATTCTCTTCTAATTTAGCTAATTATGAATCTTTAAGAGCCAGAAATACACGAAATCATACTTACGTATTGTGCTGCACCCTGTTCTCCTTCTGCGGAGATAGTCGGAGTTGTAGCAGACGGATCACATTTTAATGTCACAAACGTTTGTCTGTATTGAGAAGAATAGAAATTCAGGTTTGTAAACGTTTGATACTTTATATGCCATAATATTTGGGTTTCACCACTTGAATTGAATGTAATTCAAGAAAATTGTGCCAGGAGAGGCATGAGTATTCTCTTTTAAGGGGACATTTTAAGGGAAAATAGCATAATTCCTTCAAAATATCTCAAACTAGGAATTTAACTTACAATTTCTATATATATATGTATTTTCTATATATACCACAGAGTATCTTAAAATTCTGGACAGGCCTATATGGATTTCAAATTTCGACGGTGAGCTGTGAACACTATTACTGATCCCGTTTCTGAGACAAAAGTATCATTGGTCAAAAGGAATGGCGCATCTGTCCCTTTAAAATTACCTTTTGTATTGCGAAAAGTAAATACTGCCTTCCACCCATCACAACGTCTGTGTACGGACCATAGACTTAGTGGCTGTACCCCTATAGTCGATCCCACTGACGACGCGTACTGCCCTTTGAACATTACCTGAAACACCTAATCGTACTGAGACTAACCTTTCAACGTCTGTAAATTTACTATAAAAAATCTGTACGTCAGTTCCATCGTAGGAAAAGGCTGCACTCGATTGGTCTCCTATCGGATACTGGGCCATACCATCAGCACTAATTTGACATGACTGAAAAAGTAATAAGAATGAATGAGTAAGGGACGAAAAAACGAACTAATTAAGACAGTGGCAGCGTCAATCTCTCGAGACTGGGGAGCACAAATGGGGGACAACCGTTGAGGATGAATTCAAAATGCGGTAACTCTGCTGACTTTATTTTCGCAAGCCTCTCATAGAGTGTTCTCCAAAAAAGATTTTCCAAAAATTATGGTGCATCTTGGCACTTATTTGGGGGCAAAAATAACGTTATGTGGATGTATCAGAATATAAACTAGATTAATTCAATCATTAATTAATTGTATCAGTCTTAAGATGGAAAATAGTTTTGGTGTTTATTCTGATCCATTTCTCTTCTATGAGATCACCTCCGTTAAGAGACTGTTTTGGAATTTTGGAAAATTCCCTTGAGTGGTCTCATTATACAGTTTTTACTGTACATTTATCTTTTTATATGCTTATATATGTAAGTAAAGTTATCAGAGAAAGTTAGTGCTAAACGGATTTTCAGGGAAGAAAAAAAAAGATCTTGAATGTAAACTGAATTATCGACCTCAGAACATGTAACTGCCAGTGTCTGTTTTATCACTATTTTTAGATGCGACATTCAGTATGGTTGTATTTTCACATAATCCTCTTCGGATGCCCAGTATAAGTAAGGCCGTCTACAACTGATGAGATGATTGACATGATGTGCATAGGAAATCATCAAGTCCAACAACAGCAGAGCTTGCTGAGCAATGAAAGTATTCACTGGCGGGAATTAACAGATACATACCGAAACGTCTATACAATCACCTTCTGTAAATGGTTCACAAGGATTATATGAGTAAGAATACATATCGATGGCTCCAACATCTTTAAACCTGAAAAAAGAAAATCATTAGTTTGTTCTTGAATATGTGGGCAGAACCTTTTTTGTGGTCGCGTCTGAAACAAATGTGGTCTCCATCGATGGCTCATTGGGCGAGTCATTCTGAACCACAATTGTTCTGGGTAATTGTTATTGTGACTTACTTAAGCTGATGAATGATTTGGGTAATAGTAATTGTGAATCACAATTGTTTTGGGTACTGGTAATTGTGACCTACTGAAGATGATGATTGATTTAAGTAATGGTTATTGTGACCTACTGAAGATGATGATTGATTTAAGTAATGGTTATTGTGACCTACTGAAGATGATGATTGATTTAAGTAATGGTTATTGTGACCTACTGAAGATGATGATTGATTTAAGTAATGGTTATTGTGACCTACTGAAGATGATGATTGATTTAAGTAATGGTTATTGTGACCTACTGAAGATGATGATTGATTTAAGTAATGGTTATTGTGACCTACTGAAGATGAGGAATGATTTGGTGAAAATGGATGTTAACACAATATAAAATTGAAATATCGAAATCTTAGACTGAGTAGAATGATTTTAGTAATTATGACCTATTTTGATATACAATTGTTTTTTGGTAATGGTAATTGTAGCCTACTTTGATTCACAATTGTTTTTGGGTAATGGTAATTGTAGCCTACTTTGATTCACAATTGTTTTTGGGTAATGGTAATTGTGATCTACTTAAGCTGATGAATGATTTAAGTAATGGTAATTGTGACCTACTTAAGCTGATGAATATAAAATTGAAATATCGAAATCGCAGGCCGAGTAGAATGGATTGGGTAATAGTTATTGTGACCTATTTTGAATCACAATTGTTTTGGGTAATGGTTATTGTGACCATTGCTACTTCAGTACTTTGACAGACAAATATTTCGGGTAATGGTAATTGTTTACTTTGATACACAATTGTTTTGGGTAATGATAATTGACCTACTTCGGTTGTCCTGGGGTAAGACTTTTTAACGAACTGATGTCTACTATTCCACTGCCATCATCGAATTCACAGCTACAGGGTCCTATGGTTACACATTGTAGACTCCAAACGTGGTGTAAATAAAACACAAAATACACAAAAATACAACGCGTTATATCAGATGACAATCTTCGTAAATTCATTTTTTAGGCATAAATATAAATTCCTACAAAATTAAATTGTGTCAGTCCGTTCATGAGATCATCATTTTCACTCTCAATACAATCGTAAGATAGTAAATGAAGTTTTGTTAAATTTGTGACGGAATACGTTCTGATAGCTCTGATTGGTTGATTTAAAAATGAGCATCCAATTAGAACACTGCAATATACTACCAATTGCTGATCGAGGTACTGATGAAGTGAAATTTGTTTATCATATCTGATTTATCAGTATTGTTATAGATAAAGGATTGTCACATGCTTTGAGTGAGATTTTGATAAATAACTAAGGGCGATAACTGAATGTCACCTATAAAAAGTCCCAATGGTTTTAAAAATGAAAGTGTGGCGTATGCTCACCATTACAGAACACTGTGTCATTGTTGAGATTGGTGTGATATTTCTAATCTATCATTTTAAAACAATCTCACATACATGTAAAGCAGGGTTTTTAAACCAAGGTGGTAATTTGGACTATGAGGTGGGGGTGGTAATAACTATTATCCATTGTAAGAACTAGTGGGTCTGATCTTGTGGGTTTCATCACTTTCTGAAGACGTTTTCAATTTTCTATATATATACTTATCACAAAGGTGCTTTCTAGTCAATCTTTGGACAATAATATCGTTAGTCGTTCTATTCAGTCAGGCTATATTCTACGACATGAAAAGTAATGCAGACAAAAATAATATCGAAAATAGTATGTATTCATTGGCGGAAAAAGTGGTAATGCAATCGATCAAGGATCCCGAAAGGTTGAAAACATGGTGTCCAGTCAAGTCGTCGACACGCCAACTCGTCAACAGTCAACGCGTCGACAAACATGACCAAGTCGTCGACAGATTTGACCAACTCGTCGACAAATTACGAGATGACTTGTCGACAGATCAAGAGACGACTCGTCGACACAAGCTAATGAAATGAGATTAGGGTTGAATATAAACGTGAAGATAACAAATCAATTACTTAACAATGAACAACGATCATTAAATCAGATTAAACCATTAATCCAATATATGGCTAACTATATTGAAGATACGTGGATGCGTAATTCCATACGGGAAGTTAAAGATTGGCGTGTCGATGACTTGACTGGTATTCATAAACATCTGATATATAGAGAGCGAAAATCGGAGATAACATCTTAGCTTTGTAGTCTGATATGAAGGACACCTGCGCAATAAAGTGGAATTGAAACAATAGTAAGAGACAAGGTGATCTTTCCATGAAGCTAAATCGCCTTCTATAAAGTAATTACATGGAACCCTCCTCAAAGCAAGAAAATATTTCAACCAGGTGATGCTAAGCAATCTGCACTTTGATGAATTTGAATGTTTGAATGATAAATTTTGTTTGGGATATTTGGAGCTCGTTTCATAAACGGATGATCCGGGAAAGATCGATGAAGTTTGGCCAGACAGCGAGAGTTGAAATTCTTAACATCCCATATCCTTCCAAATAACTTGCAAAAAGACATATCCTTTATTATTTTCACAATATTTTCTTCTTATACCTTGACATCAATAGCCACCTTTCTTGTATCACATAAGTTTGTAAACACAGCGATTTGGTTGGATTGTAATACAAGAATACAAGGTCGCTATTGCAGGTATAAGGTATAAGACGTACTTCGTGATAGCTTCACATTGTGAAGACAATCCTTTAGATGCATTACTGTATCCCTTTTCAAAAACCCCAAGCCATACACATTAACATAAAGCCAAGAGTTACCTTGCCTTGATAATGACATTGTATTAATGATATATGTACAGGTGATAGTTTTCCCTAGTAACGAGTAAGAGTGGTAGATCGATATATCATGGTAGACGAGTTGACAAGGCCAATATCAAGGTGTATATTATACATACACTATTTATTATACGGATAACAATAGCACAGGTAAGGAAGTGGATTGAATGTTGTTTAGGGGCCAGTCGACTGTTTTG